AACCATGTTCACATTAACCTAACCAGAGAAATCTTTTAGCTGCTGGCTGTCAAAGGGGCAGATTTTCATGACTAGTAAGCACTAAGCAGGAGGTCTGACATGTATACAAAGGCCCAATCCCATTTCGCTCCTCACCTCACCACTTAGCCCTTACCTCTCCGTTTTGCACATTCACGCCTAGGGGTAGGGTGCCCTGATTTTTGTTGAGATAGAGGGGTAAGATGGAGTGTTACAGCTACATGGCCCTCCAAACAGAGCTTTTTTCCAAATGTACTATGAGGGGGGAAAAAAGAAAAATTGGTAAGATGGCTGCGCAAGCATTTTCTCCGTTAAAAAAATTGTGATAACCTTTGTATTAGTTTAAAGTCATTTCAATGTATTAGGATCCTTTTCTTCATAACGAGCATAAAAAATAGCTAGTAGTGTGCTGATGTCCCCCACCCCCACCCCCCACAGTGATTTGTATACAATTTAGCTTACCTTAGAGCAATCGGGTAAACCAGTGAAAAGTTTTGACATTGAGCTTTGACTGTAGTCGCTCACAGAGTTTAATCCAAAACTTTTTCAGCTTTGGGAATTAAATAGAAACACCACCACCCTCCAGGTGATCTTGATGGTGTGTTTGAATTACAGGTTCTCCAGTTAAACATCTCTTATCCTAATAATTCTAACCAATTTGCTGCCAATACCGTTCTCACTCTAAATCAGTTCTGAGAAATTCTGTCAGTTTTTCCTTTCTGAAGTTGTGCTGAGAGATTACTGTGACTGGCTGTGAGAGTAGTACATAATTATTTTGCAAATGGTCAACTGATAGTGGTTTAAGTAATCTGTAGTTTTGTATCATGTAATAATATATACAAATATATGTGCGTGTTTCTCAGGTTAATTTCGTGGACAGGCCGAAAGATCGACCCAGTGGGAGTGGATTACATCCTGCAGAAGCTGGGCTTCCACCATGCAAGAACTACAATTCCCAAGTGGCTTCAAAGAGGAGTGATGGACCCACTGGATAAAGTTCTGTCTGTTCTCATTAAGAAACTGGGCACTGCACTGCAGGATGAAAAGGAAAAGAAAGGAGTACGAGACAAAGAGGAGCATTAACACTTTCTCTCACAATCTCATCCTGAGACACATATGCACACAAACGTGCGCTTAAATGTGAGATCTAGATCAATGTGACTATAAGCTAATCTGAAACACTGGAATTATCAACACTACTGTACAGTTTGCTCTCGCTCACAAACACAGTCACGGCACCATCCTGGGTGAATTTAGTGTCAACATAGATGCTTACTGTGGTGCATGTGGCTGTTTTGCTTCAGGACTGGTTGAAAGTTGCTTGTTTATTGTCTGTATATTTTGAGCTGAACTTGCAATCGTCCGTGACCTGCTGCTGAATGCCAATTGGACTTCTTAACATGGATTATATGCACTTATACATTTAAGGTTTCATTAACGCTTCACTTAGACTGACTGCCAGTGAAACCTGAAGCTGTCCGACTGTGACTTGGAGCTGCACTTTACAAAATGGCTTCAGAGCTGTAGCATCTTTAATGGCACATCATGCTCTCTCTCCAGCAGTTTTAAAATTCCAATCAGTTTTATTCTTAACATAATTTTAAAAATTAAAGGACATGTGCCAATTCTTCTGCTTTTTTTCCTACCACCGGTCAAACCACGTGTCCACTAGTTTGTTTAAAATCGACCAAATGTTGAGTTGTCCAGGCTAAGTTGGGCTTGGAAAGTCAGTTGTTACAACAGTTGTTATAACAAGATCAAACCTAGGATTGTATTTTGTGTAAAATGTGAATTTTTATTCTAATACTATACATGATTTTTATTGGCATTCATGACATTTTACTATCTTAAATGTATAATCTGTAACCCATGTTAGGCCTGTGTGATGATTTAATATTTTTTTATGTATAGTTAAGTGAAATAGACCTGTCGTGTGTGTGTGTGTATATACTGAAGTGAATAGGTTTAATGTGCTTTAACTGAATAAAATCTTTGCAACTGTGTTCAATTTTCTGTCTTGAAATAATCACATCTCACATTTTGATATCAGTTACTCTATGTTGTTGCTTTTTTCATACAAAAGACTTAGTAAAAATACACAGGAGACCAATATTTTCATTCTTTACTGTCTATTTTGTAAGTGCTTTATCATTTTATACAGATATCTGCTCTCATTTTCTCAACACAGAACAGCATAAACCATAATACTGATATTACTGAGCACTTTTCAACTCCTGTTAGTAATACTAGTTATATGAAACATAGTAAAGTATATCCATATTGGTCAAATTCAAATAATATATTGGTATAAAGCTATTATTAAACATATAGTATAAAAAATATTGAGGGTGAAATATCCTAGATAATAATCTAGATCAATGCTCTTCTCCATACTTGATTGAAGGGGAATAAAAGGGAAGTTTTTGAGATGTAAGTAGAGTAATCCAGAGTGGCTTGATGTGAAATGGTTCATTGCAGAGAAACTTTTCTGTGCAGTGGTGATGATAGGAACCAGGTGTCACAATGTCTCCCACAGAAATATAGCCATTTTATTTAAAACCCAAGACCACCCTTCATGTAGTCCTTCACCATGAATGGATTAAAATAAATCGATTACACACGTTTTAGGCCAAATCCTTACAACAAACTACCGTAAAACGTTTCTGACATCAGGCCGTGTATTCATAACCATCTCATGTAATAACGCCCTGTGAGCAGCTTTTAGAGGTGGACGTCTTGTTCCTATCACCACCACTGTGAACAATCCTGACTCGGTGAATTTCCCTAGAACGGAGCATTTCACATCAAACCAGTCTGGATGTCTTTGTTTACATCTTAACCATTATGCAGAAATTTTGAAAAATCGGCTGAGTTTCCCTTTCACGTGTGCGTTACCGAGAAAGGCAGTCGTTCAAGCTGCAACGGGTATCATTCGGATTTACGGGGCCGAAGTCCGGAGATCCTCCTCCCTGCGTAGTACACTGCGCAACTCTCATAGTACTCGCACATGCGCACAAACAGCGCAAAATAAACGAACAAAGAGCCGTTCAGGATTCAGCCAGTTTCACTGGACATATGATGCGCTGTTTGCGGAAGAGGCCGAAATTTCACCTCTATAGGGCTCTATATAAGGAGTGAGGAGCCATTTTGAGATTCAGCGCTTAACTGGGCGAAATGTGAAGCCACGAGGCTTTTTTCTGTAGACGTACAGTAGAATGTCAAAGTGCATAAACATAAAACAATTATAATCTAATATTTTAATGTTAAATAATTTTAACCAATAGAGAAAACGAAAGGGAAAAGGGAGCCAGGGGATATAGCACGTTTTTACAAAAAATATATTAAATAAGGTGCATATACTCACTGGTTTGAGGGTAATACAAGTTATTTATTGTGTAGCTTCTATTTAGAATTCAGGAAAATCTGGTTTGGAATGAGTAAATTTACATTTGTGTATAAAATGTTGCCAAAAGGATGATCAAATTAATAATCCAATATTCTTTAATTTTATTACTTTTATAATTACTGAAACCAAACCATAATCCAGACAGAGATTAAATTCAGGGTCAAGACAATGATACCATGATAAATCCATATCCATCCTTTCAGAGCTGTTTTGTGAGGGTGCAGCGCCAGAACACGTGTAGAAGAGCGTCTGGGTTTACAGGTAAGTGGCCAGGCATAGATATATCTATGTGGCCAAGCTCGTCATAGATGGCTCGTCTACCCCCGGAGATTTGTACTAGCAAAACAAACGGCAGAACTGAAATTTAACTGGCCAATCAGATTGCAGTAAAGAAAAGTCATACTAGCCATTTAGCCAGTAGTCTAAATGCCGTAGATGTTGATGTAAATGCATTGAACACCTCAGTGCCGGAGGTACTCTGGGCATCGTTGCTTCCCGAGTTCAGTCCTTCGTGAATGACTCCAGGACACGACAGCAGCAGCTGCCCAGTGGGCATGAAATCATATAAAATAAATATCCCGATAATGACCTAACCTTTTAACACCGTTTATGATATCATAATATTGTATTAAGAAAATAAATCATTACATACATATACTACATACAAGCTAGCATTCTGGTTATATTTTTAATAATAATGATGTGTATACATTTTAGGGATTTTTATCTTTGGGGTTTAAAAAAAAAAGTTCCTTATAATAATGGCAGAGCAGTCCTCACTCAATTCTGAAACCCTTTTTTCTTTTTTTTTTTGGAAAGACTTAAAAGGCATCATATCTGTGGTTCCCTCTAGATTTTTCTGGACCTTTGGTACTCCAGATAGCACACGGAGTATGAAAGGACAGCATAAACTTTACCATGAGTTGTGAAGGCGCTCAGACTGTAATACCCTAAAACAGCTGTACAAACACCAAACAAAGCCTGAGATCAAGAAGTGAAAGCACAGTGGGACTTTGCGGATCCAGAGCTACTCCGCAAGTCTGAAAATCTCTAGTGAAACTGCAACTTGTTTGACTAAATTGCAGTCAGTGTATTTTGCCCACAACAACTACATGCACTGAATAGGTGTAGACCGTCCTATTAAATATCAGCACACACAGCTCTTAGTCTAGGAGTTTATGAAAAAAAGCAGTGTTCATCTGGGAAATGAGATTAAGCAACTACTTAGTAATAGCCAAAAGAAGTGCTAAAGCAAGGTTGCCCAGTTAACAAGTTGTCTGTGAATCCTCAGTATAACTTGGACACACTGCAACAAAATGTCGTTCCTCCTTAGCTGAAGTTTGTTTAGCTGATGTGTGTTTAAAGTAGGGAAAACACTTAAGATACTCCAAGGGTCGGAAACCGGTTTTAAGGTCTTGACCTGTGCTTATGCCTCCCCAGGCAGGAAGAACCAAATAAAACTGAAAACACTAACATTACAAATATGCAAGAACAGGTTTGGATCTGTGAGTTTAACCACATTTACTGTTATTCACTATTCACCATGAAATAAAACCCCACACATTCACACTTAACTGCTTTAAAAAGCTTTATTTCACCCAAATATCACAGAAGCGCCCTGTCTGAATTTACTGTGCCTTTTTTAAAACTCTGAATAGGTAGATTTCACAGAGACTTAACATTCTAGCCTGTTACGTAAACTCAAAAAAATGAGCTAACAAAAATGTGCTAAAAATATGCTGCTCTATAGTTAAATGCATTCTATAATTGACTATAAAAAAAAAAAAGTAATTCAAGGGCTATCCATAGTGTCTTAAATTTAACGATACCATTGGTTATTTAAAAAAAATTATAAAACAATAAAAAAAAGACAAAAAACAAAAAAACTCCTCACTGGCATCTGTTACTATCAATAATTCCAGTATTATTATAATTTTGGTCTTTCATATACATTTCCATATACATATCTACTGTTAAAAAAAAAAAAGGCATCTATCTCAAAGATTAAAATAGGCGTAAAAAGATTCAAGTTTGGCGTCGGTAATGCTGTGTAGTAATGAGGCTGTTTGGTCTGTTGGCTCTGTGTTGAACGCACATCGACACAAGTGTGCATGAGTGTGTTTTTCAGTGTGCGCACACTCGATTCGGAGAGGAGGTTGAGTGCGTGGGGGGACCTGATGTGGCAGCTCCATGGAGCTCTACAGTGTTCACATACTTCCCTGATCAGACACACACAGTGCTTGCAGTTTTGGAGAACAGTCAAGACGACGTCAATACCACTGAATCATGAGTAGAGGGCGGGCAGGCCATGGAGGGGAGGGGAGGGGACAGGAGGGGAGAGGAAGGGTAGTCTTACCAGCTTTACACTTCGGCTGCCTTTTTTGAGCTTTTCTTGGGGCCCTTATTGGCAGCTCTATTGGAGGTGTTCTTGGTCCCAGCCTTGCGGCCGCGTTTAGCTGTTTTTTTAGGCAGAAGAGGTTGAGAGGTGCTGGAAAGCTCCTTGCTGTTCTCCATTGAAGCCTGCAGATCTGAGTCGTCATGCTCTTGGCAGCACAGCTGGCCTGTGATGGGGTGTGGGCGCAGCGCACCCTCTTCGTGGGCCTTACAGAAGGAGTTGGGGCAATGCTGACAGAAGGCATCAGAGGGCTTTCCACACACATCACAGTGGTGCCAGGGGCAATCCCAGCGACCTGCGCATCAGATTAACAAAAATCAGTAAACCTGTACACAACCGGGAGGTACTTTCATCTTTCTTCAACTCCTACAGGTCTAATCATTTAAACATCAAGTATTTTAACACTGGTTGCAGTTATACCTGGCCTGGAGAGTTATACGAGTATGTGCCTTACCGAACGGCCTTTTGGTGCGGTCCAGGCAGGAAAGGTGGTAGGCTTTGGTGCAGCCCTTCTTATCACACAGGACCAGCTCTCCTCCATCACCACAGCGGAAACACTCGTCTTCAGACTGCTTCTTCCCTTCATTCCGGGCACGTCGCTTCCGAGGCTTCTTCTTCTGTGGCTTCGCTTTCGACTCTGAAGACGGCGCAATCTGCAACCAAGAGCGATCAGGTCTGCAGTTAGGCCCTGACTCTTTCTTATCCGAACCTAATCATTCTCATATCGTTTTACAGACCACGAATGATCGGGAAAAGCACAGGTGTTTACAGAGATATACTCACCTTGGGTCTGTCCCCCAAGAAACCGCTGCAGTTGGGCGCACCACAGCGACAGACTGTCTTCTCATTTCCCAGACAATCCAAATTGTAGTTAAATGTCAGCTCTGTACCTACATACAGCAGAACACAAGAACACCTTGAGCAACCCTAAACCTCTCCTGAACAGAGCTTTTCATTTCACACAAATACTATTCTAATCGAACACTGGTACTGAGTACTGTATACCGCCCACCCAGCAGATGTTCTCTAAGCTTACCGGTTGGGATGTCGCAAACAGCGAACAACCCCACACGGGTGTCACCGTTCACAGTCCACTTCTGAGTCTCACAGTTGGGTTGACAGCTGTGGTTCATGAAGCGAGAGTAATTCCCTTTAGGCCCTGCATCTATAATCCGGTCCTATACACAGACACAAAATTAATACAGGTCAGGTTTAACGTAGATAAAGGCTTTATGGCAATCAAATCAGAACAACTATGTGCATCTTAGACTGTTTATTTTTGTTTAGACTGAACTAAAATCCTAGTCAGATGTAATCATTACACGGTTCAGTTGTACAATAAGCATTTTGCTGAAAGCTTCTTATATTATTAAGAACATGGTTGTAGTATTTAATACTGTAGCACCACAGCAGGCTATACAGTGGCACTCCCAATGAAATACTGTTCCTCTAGCTCTACTGCACACTGTCCAGCCACTGAAAAGACTGTAACCTGTGTAGCAGGAGCAGACAGAAATACTGCAAACAAAATGACGCATGTCCATCAGCTTCACTGAAGACACACATAAGACCAGATTAGAGCACTGTGATAAAAATGTGCCTGGCAAATTAAAATTATTTGCCACAGTGCAGTGTTTACCTTATCAATAGTGAGCATGTAGAAGTTAATTATGTCGTTCTCCTGGGCATATTTAATTCTGGCTCTACACTCCTCCTCGTCAATCAGCTCCCCTACATACTCATTCACAAACTCGCCCTGTGACAAACAAAAGAATAAATCAAATTCAAATCACATCTCTCACATGCTAATCAGTTTACTTCCACACTCCTTTACAATTTCCCCTGACCCACAGAAAAACACAGATGATCAAATAGCTGTTCCATATATTGTACTTACTCCCACTCAGACCCCTGATATACTACTTAAAAAAATAAATAAACAATAAAAATAATAATAATAATAATAATAATTCACAGTCACACATTCAGACTCTGCTTCTTGTTCTAACCTTTTTGATATCTCGTAGAGTGAAGAGGCCCCAGCCCTTGCCGGCTGTGCGGAAGATCTTGGTCTCAGGATAGAGGCGTTTGGTGAAGTCCTGATTCATGCAGCGCTCTCCAGCCGGACACACCTGAGGGTGGCACTCATACAGAAGCATACGATTCAGGCACTCTGACTCAAAGCTGCAGGGGCGCTCGTCGGTTGGCTTACAGTTGCACTTGGGAATCTCTGAGATATCAGCTGTGTAAATCTGGACGCGCCCACATGGTTTGTTGATCTAGGAGAGTGGTCACATTAACAAACAGTTTTGCTCACCATCCAGTAATACTGGACATATCTTAACAGGATTTCTCTGTCTGATGGCTAAAAGTGTGTCTGATGGCTAAAAGTGAAGCTGTGATTTGCTCAGTGCTGATCTTGAGGCACAAAGCTGTTATTAAAGTTGACTATAAAATGGCATAATATGTTGGTACCTTGATGTATTTATATGGAGGAGGTTTCTTGTTGTTCTCCTGGGCCTCTTTAGCTTCTCTTTCCATCTTTATCTGTTTAAATCGAGCCTCAGCCTCCAGCAGGGCTAACAATGGGAAGGGAACAATCAAGTTCATGTGAATGAGGTTGCCTTGTGTTCTTATCAAAATTATTAACCAGCAAAATTTAAGACAAGCTGAAGCCAATATTAATGAATAACCCTGACCATTCTTGAAGACTTTCCCAATGCCATTTCTCTGGTGCCTGCTTCCCCTGTCTCCCTCTATATAAGGGAACACACGGCCCTGGTGGGTCCAGAAGTAGTCCTTCGACCCAAAGAAGTAAACAGGGAACTCTCCAATCTCATGTCGCAGATGCTGGATGTTTGTAGGGATATTTCTGGGGTGACGGATCTCTGCTGGCCACCACCTAAGGTTTCAGAAAGGGTCTACTTAATGACTTACTGAATACTACTTCAATACTTTACGTAAATGTTCAATATGACAAACATGTTTAATATAAACAAGAAGAAACTATTGGATATTCTACAAAATACATGGCTTACAGTCACTGAAATACTGTAAGCTCATCTAAAAGCTGATGCTCTGAGCAGAAGACTGGCAGTAAACCGTAATAGTTTCTATGATTAGTGCAGGCTGAGACTTGCCTATAGTTGCCTAGTTTGACCCAGATGATGTCCCTGTACTTGGGCTTCTTGCCTGAGCGGCAGTCATTACAGAACCAGCTGCCATCAGGCATGGCAATGTTCAGACAATCGGGGTGAAAGGCAGCTGGACACGACTCACAGCACAGCAGACTGCCACCTAGAACACAAACACACACACAGACACACAAACAGAGCTTAAAACACAAGAATTCAGTGTTGCAAAAACAGGTATGACATACTGCTTAAGAAAGGATTCAAATCTAGATCCTTTAATGCTCAAATGTACAGTCTGATCAAACCACAGGAATATTCTTACCCTTTGAGCAGATGAAGCACCAGCTGACATTGACATGTGAGTGATGGCTGTAGCCCTTCTTAGGGTTGAAGTGATTAGTACACACAATAGCAGTAGATGTCAGCATTTCGCTTCCTGCAGCTACGCACAGGTCTCCAGTGTGATAGGCCACAGGGCAGCGCAGACAGCGAATCATCTTTCCTAAAATGTAAAGAAACATTAACAAACCCAGACAAATAAATAAATGAAAATAAGCAAAAAGATATTCATAGTAAAAACGCTTTTAGAAATGTGTGTTACTGGTAGCTTCTGTATACAAGAAGACTAGCAAGGTTTTCTCTGGCCTTAGTCAGAGATTATATTACCTTTGGTGGCTTTTGCAGTGCCGCGGCTGCTGTAGTGACAACTGAGACAGGTGTGCAGTGGGCAGCGGAACCCTCGGTTATCAAACACAGTCAAGGCATTCAAACGCAAACATGCCTCATGGTAGAATCTACCACAATGCAGAACACTGCAGCGTTTCACCTCCCCTTCAGACTGCTTACAGGTGAAACATGCATGCACTCCTGAGAGAGACAGAGCATTAGAATGAATTACATATGCATAATATGTCGCACCAGCATACACATGAAATATTTGAGTGGGTAAAGCGTACATCTTGCTCACCTGTCCTGCAAGCAGTACAAAGCACCTTGTCTGTTGGCCGGTCCAAACCCACACACTGCAGGTGGTAAGAACCATAGCATTGTCCCTCACATGTCACCAAGTCCTCACTTGTCTTTTCACAAATCTACACACATACACAGCTCATGAAAAACATGTCTGCACAGACCAACAATAAAAACATAAGGACATGTTCACTAACCTGACACACGCTCTCTTTTTTTGCACGTTCTGCCTTCTTGTTTGTGTGGGCCTCATCAGTACTGTCACTGGGGGAATCAGGTCTCTCTTCACACAAAGTCTAAAACACAGATTTCATCATAAAAATCAACATTAACAGGCAGAGGAATGCCAAGACAATTATAATGATCTAAGGATGAGCTTTCAGTTCAACTCTGCTGTATCAAACATTGTTGGGTAGATGTGTAGCTAAACTCCTTTAACCACCCATCTGCTGTCTGGTGATATAAATGCACGCACGTGTCTGTCCTCTTTACGGGTCAGCTAAACAAGCTAAACATCTCAGTTCCTATCCAAAGATCCTAAATCTTGCCAATTCCTGATATTTATTGTTGCAAGGTCTAGTTTCCAGTTTTATAACTAGAAGGATGACAGGACAGGAATGTCAAAAACCTTTACAACTGTTTAGATTAACAATGGATGCAGTAACTGCAAACTGAATATGACCATATAATATAAGACTGTGCTAGGGGCAGGATATGTTGCTGTTTAAGCTCAGGAGAGGATGAAAAATCTGGCCAAATGTTAGAGAAAAAAGTCAGGTGTTTTTTGCCTAAGCAATCAATGACAATTATCTTTTGAAGTATGCTACTGCTGTTCCTTGGTACCTGAAAACAGACTGCGTAAAACAAAATCTGGGTCATTCGAAACCATCAGAAAAGTTTCCCCCAAAAATTCTAAACAAATGTATGAAATAGATGAAGTACTAAATTTGAACAGCAGAGAAGGGGTATTCATCAACAGAATGGAATCAGCTGTTTCTGAGCAAGGAACTCAGAGTGTGCTGGACACCAGCCCTCCATGACTCAAACTGAACAGCTCTACTGTACAAGCTGCAGTGTTAAATCCCCAATGAAGCAAATTCTTGTTGTGTCGCAGGCAAAGACTGATGAACACAAGCAGAGATGGTATCAATACACATACTGGTATCGGGTCGGTACCGTACTCATTTACTAGTACTTATTAAAATTCACTAATAACCAACATTCCGATACCTGCTGATACCGTGTAGCATTAGCCGAGTGCCCACTGCCGCATTAATGAACAAACCACTCAAGCTAGCAGTAAAGGAGGCTCTGCTCACACAGAAGTGTTACTGACACCATGGAGGTCAGACAGAAAGTTTCTGGTCACTTTAAACATTCCACCTTGGCAAATTCTCCTTTCACTCTTCTCCTTCGCAACTCAATTCTAGGTAATTAGTGTGCACAGCTATCATTAACTAATGCACATCATTTAAAATCAGCTAGATTTAAGTGTTAAGGTACAACAAAATCATTTACACTAACTATGCATCTATGAGTATGGCACTGATATCAGTATCAGCAGGTACTTATAAACATACTCGTACTTGTACTCGTACTCCATCTTCGCAATACTTCTCGCCTCCGACCATTTCTCAGCCGAGCCGATGTAGAAACACTTGTGCATTCATTAGTGACATCACGGCTGGACTACTGCAATGTTCTTTTTTTCTGGCCTCCCTGTCAAAACCCTGACTAGATTACAGTATGTTCAAAAGGCCGCTGCTAGGATTGTCACCTTTTCAAAAAAAGAATGACCACATCACTCCTGCCCTTCAGAGTCTTCACTGGTTGCCCATTACATTCCGTGTTCAGTACAAGGTTCTCCTTATAACATATAAAGCTTTGCACGGTCTGGCTCCTCAATACTTGGCAGAGCTTCTTTAACTATATGCCCCATCCCATACTTTGAGATCCCAAAATCTAGGCCTTCTTCATGTTCCAAGGTTTAAATTGACTTCTATGGGTGGTCGATCATTTAATGTAGTAGCTCCCAAATTATGGAATACTCTCCCCCAGTCTATTCGGGATGCAACCTCTCTTATCTTCATTTAAATCTCTAAAGACTTACTTGTTTTCACTGTGTTATCGTTGTTCCATTTATACTTGAATGTTTACCTGTATTGTCCTTTTGTTTAATGTGTTGATGTTCTTTGATTGTAAAGTGTCCTTGAGCATGGGAAAGGCGTTATATAAATAAAAGTGATGATGATGAAAAAGAAAAAAAAAGGATTGATGCATCACTAAAGGCTACCTGAGAACCTGACTATGCTGAATTTCCTTTATGGTATATCCCCTATATAAATATACCTCTAGCTCTAGCTGAGATGAAGGGCGGCGCTTCTTGGATGAAACAGATATTGATCGGTTACCGGAGTCCTTCTTCCTCTTCCTAACACGTTTGGCCTTGGCATGAGGCTCTGCTCCTGATGCAAAAGGAATGCAAAACGGGAGAAACATTATTTTATAAATAACCCAAAAAACAAGTATTTGTCCCTCTATACTAAACTGCTAGTCACATTTACCTGAGGCTGGTGTTCTGAATCCCTTCCTTTTCTCCATGACAGAATTTGGTTTCTTTCTCCTTTTTACATTGGCAACTGACTCAGTAGTCTGTGCCTTTGGGAATGTTGAGAGGAAAAATTATCAGTACCATCAAAGCCAATTCTAAAACATAGTATGTAAATAAACTTTCCAGCTGAATGACTGATTAAATGACACTGATAATTGTTTCTAGTTAGAGATGAGCAGAAAAAAGTATAAATACACACACACACGCGTTTGCTACATTGCAGACGCGTTTCTAACTACAACCTGGACCACAATGGAATCATTCAATCCCATTTAAGATACTAGTGAACCACACTGATTTACCACATTGATTTCCTGTGTGAAATAATGCCAGATAAGGATGTCAGTGTGTTTTGTATTTTAGATATATAAAGGACATCTGCAGTAACTAGCACACCTTTCGGTTCTTGCGTCGTTTTAAACCCTCCGCCAGCTTAGCTCTCTTCTTGGGATGGGGCTCTTCCTCCTCAGCCTCCTCTAGTGCACGCTTTAAGGCCACGTTCTTGCCTGTGTAAAGAACAGCCCAGCTTCTCAGAATGTATACAGTGTTATAATGCTGTTTTAGTTAGGTGGGGGGGAAAATTCATGGTCATCCCTAATTATCCCTAAGGAGACAATTATTAGCTAACCTCTAGATCCAGCATCTGCCATGTCCTTGTTAGGTTTTCTCCTCATCTTGCCCAATGTTCCATCTTGCAACAAAGAGACACATTAAACTGACCATAACGGCAAAACAATAACTTTAATACTAAACTGTTGTTCAAATTAAACGTAAGTACTCAAATTAGCTGGTAACAACATATTGTTGCTGTCAGAACAAAACCTTGTATCTCTACTTTTTTCATTTTAATTTTGAACATAATTTGAAAATGCCTGTTGCCCTTTACGTTGTGTGTAAATTTGATGATGACAGGAGCAAAAGAAACGGCCTAAAGCTACTTGGGAAAAAAAATCTGGTTCCATCGACTTACATTAAAAGTAAAGTGTTTTTCCTTCTCCTGTAAAGTTACCATTTTGGAGATACGAGGTTTTGTTCCGACAGCAGTGATACGTAACACTGACTGCACAAAAAACACTGCTTAAGATACAAACTATGGAACAATGCCAGGGATGCCAGACGGCTCTTACCTATGATCACTGGTTTTGCTGGTTCTGTGTTTAGATTTTCAGCATTTTCAATTCTAGCAGACGCCTTAATTTTCTTGTTTTTTAGAGAGTTTGGCGCAGCTGGAAACTTCTGCCTGAGTTTTCCCTGTTTCTTCTGAGGTGCTTTTAGCTGGGGGTCAAAGTCAGCAAAGAAGATATCCTATACATGGGGACAAACATACATGTTAAAGCATGCAAAATAAGAAATACAGTACAAAGAGTTACAGAGAGGTATAACACGCACTCCATAACTTCAAAAGCACACCTGTTTCAGCAATGCCTCTTTAGACAGTTTTCCAGAATTGGTCTTATTTTTAGGCTCTTGTTTATATAGGGCAACAGGGATATCCTGAAATGTAAAACAGACAACTTGGAGCAGGCAAGACAAAACTAGAGTAAAATGAGATGGAACATACTTAATACCTCAACTAACCTGTACAGTAGAGTCAGTGTGAGGGAGAACTACGACAGGCATCACTACTTTCTTTCTCCTCCTCACAGAAGTGTTGTGCCGATTGTATTGCCTTCTCTTGGCTGATGCCTTAGGTGCTTTAGTGACAAGGGGCATTTTCCCTGCTGAAGTGCTGTCGGTGGGACAGGTGAAAGGGAGAGGGCTGCTGGGAGTCTGTACAGTGATGGGGCTGGACTGGGTAGAGTCTGGGGGAGTGAGGCTAGCTGTCTCAGGAAATTTTCCATGACCCTGCTGTGGCTGTTCCTGTTCACGATGCTGCTGCAGCACTTTTAGCATGCGAGAGTTAAACTGTGGCAGGCCACCCTCGTATGTGAAGCTGAACTTGGCCAGTCGCTCCTCTACAGATAAAGTTAGAGCTTCTGTTGCATGGGAGATACCCATCTCCCATGGTGTCCGCAGCTTACGTGGGATTGACAGCTAAATACAAGATAGCAATCTGTAAAAAACAGCTCTACAAAAAATCTACTACATCAGTCATAATAATACAAATGACATGGGCTATGAATGATGAACAGTAGTACCTTTTTGCCAGCAAAATGGGCACTGGTTTGTTTGCTGCTGCGACAGAGTAACTGGTACTGCTCTTTTCCAGAGAATTTGACCATATTCTTCCCAGCAATGTATCCTCTCTCTGGAGCATCACTAAAATACTGTATGTGGTACAATAACCCTGCCCTGCTGTTTGCTGCTAAAGAGAAGCAAGAAATATTGTGTCATTACTGCTAGCTTATACTATAAATGGAATTATGTCATTACACTATGTCTGCCAGCTCTTACCTTTCTGCCTGAAGTGAAGGTTAAACTCTGGGTCTGTAGTGATCATGCATGGCCACCAGGGGTATCCAGACACTTTAGTCCAGACAATATCTCCCACAGAAAACTGCACATGAGGTTGGTCCTCAGTAGGTGCCCCCTTTACTTCATTCACACCTTGCATATAAGTGTCCTCCTCAGCTGCTGATGTGGGCTGCCATACAAAAGAAAAACAAGGGTTTTTTGGTAAAGACAATGTTTATATAAGACCATGACAACTCCAGAATGCATTTAAATGCATAAATGGCTCTCCCCTATGAAGGAGTCAGCTTTACATGATCATTTAAATAACCTTTTAAAAGTGGTTCTACATAACACCAAAAAAGGGCTCCACTAGAGTCATAGAACCCTTTTTGTCAGAGTATACTCAACATTTCTGTTGAGTTCTATGCACAGGCTGATTTTAAGTGTTACCACTACTATAATTTTCAAGGCCTCTTGCCAACTAGTAAATTAAACACTTTGTTCACTAATGAGTGAAGCACCTCTTTCACACTTTCCTTCATATGATATTATTTCTTTACAGTGTTCAAACAACTATGATGCTCTATTTGCTGTGAACTATAGTGCTTCTATGTTAGAAACTCATGTTTTCTGTTTAACAATGCAGCATATGTAGTAAACGTGTTCAGTTGTGTACAGTAAAAATGGTTAAATTGCACATCCCTAATAAACAGAGGAATTTATGTTGAAAATGACCACTGACGCTACTACAATACACATGGTAAGTGGAGCAACTGGGGAAGACAGTGAATTGGAGGCAGAACCATACCACATCAAGTAGTGGAGATACACAGGCAGGTACATCAGTGTTAGCCACGTCATGAGACTCAGCAGTCAGAACTTCTGCATCAGGGGCGAAGCCAGGTGACTCTGGGGCCTTGTCAAACGGCTCTATGGTGGTGTGCATGACAGAGGATCTTTCAGGGACAATAGCAGCAGCCACAATAGGGTGCCTTGGTGGCATTCTCTTCTTTACAGGTCCCCTCTTCCTCTTCCTCCCTTCTTTTCTAGAATCTGGAGAACCCATAATGCCCTCAGAGAGGCTCAAAGCTGCATTTGGTTCCTCTGTCGCTTCTTCTCCATAGCTAGAGTCATAGCGGCTTGGGGGCGACGACTTCCCATTGGCCAAATGTTTGGTTATTTTGAGTGTAAGCTCGGGAGATGATTCAGATTTTCTCTGGGGACTGCCATGCTGAGGGCCAGGCTCCACTCCTTTAAGGAATGGGGGTGTAGCAGAGGCAGCACAGAGCTTTGGGATTTTATCTTGATCACCATTTAACAAGCGAGAGGTCAGATCCTTCAGACGCTCATGAGCATGGTTATGACCATGTGTGTGGTTGTGGTTACTCATCTTCTGTAGAACACCTTCTTGGGGGGTGGCTGCCAGCTGAGCGGCTGCTTTATCTAACAGAAGGGTGGGATCTGTGCTTCCATCACCACGTCCCGTACATCCACCTGGTGAACCGGAGAGATGCTTCATACTGGCGGGGTTCTTTGGCTCAGGCATTGCAGGCAGAGACCTCCCCTTACTATCCATCACTGCCAATCAGGGGCCTGTTGCAAATTGAAAAAGACCATTGGTTAAAACACCTCAATATCCTAATTGTCATCTCTCTAAACAATTCAAAGTGAAACTTTATACCCAGCAAACACAAATCCAACACTTTTGGTTTTGCACCTATTTTTCGCTGTTAAAAGCAAATAGTGGTCACACTGGATACTAAGCCACTGCTTTTTTGCAGGGTTTCAGTAAAACTTTTCAAATAAAAAGTGCTGTGTTTATATTTTTGTTCAGTGTATTGTGCAAATTTAAAATCACAAAACATTTTCCAAAATGTCAGTGCCTTATTTTGCATATTTAGGTATCTTTTACACAAAAAATTTGTACTATACGAAAAAAAATATAGATCTTTCTTTTTTAAAAAACAAACAACTTCTTGATAAAAATCAACCAAACAGGCGCTGAAAAGAACACGTTCAGTAAAAACGAATGCTCCGATATCTTTGCCTGCTGCCATTCACTCTGCAGCCGCGCTCAAAGAAAAGCCAACGCACTGCATCCACACAGATGCACCTGTAGCGAATGCAGAAGGCCGAGAGAGCAGAGTATCCGCACGGTGTGTTACTCTCGCATTGAAAGGACTTCCTATTAGTAATATACCGTCAGTTTCATCAAACCATTGGCGCAGTTTGAGAACCCTTAGTTCATGTTATACGAAATGGGTTTAGCTTTACATAAAGATGGCTACCCTCTTATATTTGCTGTGAGTGGGTGGCCGGCTAGTGTGCTGCTGAATGAGATCACCGTCCCGGTGCGCCTTCCGAGTGTAATATGTTCATTCTTACCAGTTAGTGACTGATAACAATTATGAAATATCTATACGTACAAAAACAAACCATAAAACATGCACATTTCCACATTAAAAAAGACTTTTATGACAACGATACTCAATGGCTGCACCTGAGCATTTAACGGTGTGTGCTTTAAGGGCAAAAAAGTCACCGGCACCTTTCGCACAATTTAATATTAAAGAAAAATTACGATCAAAAGTAATGAAAAACAAGACGTTAAAAAATGAAGCCACGTCCAGCTACTAGCTCAGTCTTGAACGACGGCAGCAAGCTAACGTTAACTCATTGTCATTCAAGACGGGCAATCACAGTAAAGCCGCCTCGTTATGTGAGAGAAAGCTATTGATCAGATAGCGATCACAGCTTCGGTTATGGATTTAATGGCGACTCCCCAATAGACCACTCAAACACAAAAAGGACGATTTCTGAAGACAAACAGCTTTTAAATGGGGGACGTTAGTCAACATTAGCTAAGATAGTCCAGCCGGGCGCCCGGGTTGAATCCCAGTAGCCATTAGACCAGCTGCTAAAAAGTGTTAATAATTACACTCAGGTAGCTTGTTGTCTGCTAAGTTACATGGTATGAACGCGTAATGGTATCACAATGAAAGAAAGCGCAAAAAACACAGAAAAACGTTAACGTTAGCCATAAGGCTAAAATGGTACATCGCTAACAGCTAAGATGTAGCTTGCTAACTAGCCTCAACGAGAAAAAAATGACAATTGAGTTATGGCTTAACGCAGGAAACTACTCCAAGCTCAGCTACAGAATTTAACATTTAAATCCAGAAAGAGAAAGAAACATTCGGGTCAGTGAACCCGCAGGAATGTCCAATATGATTAACGCGGCTAGCTAGCTAACGCTAGATAATTTGAAACCATTCTATGTACTTAGCCAGCCAGCTATGTTTGACTGGCGGACCAACACAAGAGACGAGCTAGCCTGCTAGCATAGCATACTGCAGCTGCAGCTGCTTCAGTGACACGCTAGCAAGCGGCTTAATTTGTCCAGAAACAGACTGGTTACTCCTCTGTAATTCTACAGCAATGTTTAATATAACAATATTTTAAGCCATACGATACGAACATTGATTTTCAGCCGAAAATAACCTGTTTGCAGCATTACGATTACTCCAACCTCTATTCATTCGAGTCAAGGCTTGCGGGAAACTCATCCCAATCAGCGCGAAAAATACTCACTCCCGATTGGTCGGCGGCAGCGGCAGAATTCAACCGGCCTTTTCAAACACTGCAGCACTCCGCTCTCTCCACTCGCCGCAGAGCATCTTTAGAAACGCGCAAATAGAGGCGCGAAACTACCCAGCCTGTAACCCGCACTAAACAAATACTCTTCTTAGGTCGTTTGTTTTTGTTATTTTGAAAAAGTCCGTCGCTTAGTGAAACAGGGCGGCCTGCAGGAATGAGCGAAGGAGGGCATCCTCACTATGTGACGTCGTACGCAAGAAGGCGGGATTCGCATGGTGAGGTTGCCAGTTATTCGGTCTTCAGAGAGGGAAAATTGTTGGTACGTGCAGAAGCGTTGATGAAAGCGCGGTCTTGGCCAGTTTAAGTATTATATATATGTATATACTGGTTAATTTTGTCATCAAAAGGAAACGTGGTGATGTTACTCAGTTAGGTTCGTTCCTGAATATAATAACATATAAATGTTGCTATTTAACATTAAGGGGAGTATGAAAGTGGAACACCATCTGGCAACCCAGAAAAATAAGCGCGCCAGAGAATCACTCGAATGGCATTCCTGCAGAGCAGTGGTTTGAACTGTATTACAGCTCAGGTCCATTGTATTTGTAGGTGCGTTCTCAACGAATTTATAAATGCGTTTTCCTGAAAAGAAATGTAGTTTGGTTAAACACTGAAATGATTCTAGGCTTCCAAAATCGCAACTGGGTGACCTTTCACAGATGAGGCCTACAAAATATAATACACAATTGCCTGTGATGTAAGCACTATTTCCCACTAGTTCCCAAACTATTGACTGTTACATCTTTATTAAAGTTAAAATAACAAATTTATAGATTATATAGATTTCTTTTTAAGACTGAGCAATAAATGCTCTTTGGCTTTCTTCCTTAGTGTTTTTTTTTCATCTAATGTAGGCTACACAAGCTGCGAAAGTAAAACAGGCAGGTGAAGCAGGCCAGTGTAACTGAAATTGAATTTTATTTCTGGGAGTGAGTAACACATTTTTAAATTCAGCACTCTCTTCAAAGAATGACCAGGAATTTTAATGTGTAGTCTACAAAAAAATGTGTTAAACTCTTCTGCAGAGAACGTAGTGTCGTAGAATTTCTGCTGCATAAGTGGAGGAGGTTAACTTATGCTGACTGATTGGCAGGCAGCTTAATTTGGTAAACTACTCAAGATTTAATTCTACATAGTGAGTATGTAGGTAAAGATGGCTTGATACCATTTCTTCTCGTCCGATACTGAAACCTTGGGTAACGACTGTTTTCCGATACCGCCCCCATATTTCTTCTTTAAAAACTACTAAGCTTTAACATTAGCTATTTTTAACTGAAGCACTTTATTTAAAGAGAAATTCCACCAATTTTTCATAATTTCTGCACAGTTATAGTGACAGGAACCAGGGGTCGCTATGCCTACAGCGCAAATATAGCCATTTTATTTACTCCCCAAAATGACCATTGACCCGACATGTCTTCTGAGTTTTATATGTAATATGGATGATGATAAAATAGTGATAAATCTGAAAATATATATATATATATTTGGGGGGAGGGGTAATTTTGCTTTACGATGTCTTGAATGTACCTCTCTGCCATTAATTACAAATGTTTTAGACCAGAATTTAACCTCAAAACTAATGTAAAACTTGGGCATCAGGCAGTGTATTCATAACCATTTCATGTAATAACTTTCTTTGAGGGAGCTTTCAGAGGCCTTAAATTCTTCTTCTGGTTCTTATCACCACAACTGTGAACAATTTAGACTCAGTAAGTTCCTCTAGAACTAGGCTTGTGGTTTCACACCAAACCACTCTGAATGACTTTGTTTACATCGTAACAAATTAAATATGCAGACATTTTGAAAAATCGGAAATCCCCTTTAAGTACGTAAAAGGTGATCATCTTCAAGCTGCCCAAACTGTCCACCACCTCACAGCAAGAATAATAAGCTAACAACATGATATGACAACGAGTGGGCTTGATTTACTACAGGATTGGATTAGATCCGTTCTTTTTTCCCTCTTATATCTACTCCAGCATATTCAGCTGATATCAGCCTGATATCTGGTACCAGATTGGTGCCATCTCTATTTGTAAGACTGAGCAAAGGTTAACACATACCAAAACACGGGTGTGATAGTTTGATAGTACAAATGATACATTGTGAGGTATTTCTCAGTAAACCGTGTTTTGGTGAACATTGTTGATAGAGGGCGAATTAGAGAAGCTGTGTGGATCGCCCCTCTATGCGTTTCTGAACCGGAACGGCTGTGTCGAATGATGGGAGTGAAGTGAGCGTTCACTTGCCTTAGCGTCCATTTTCTTCGCAGGTTTTCAGGGATTTCAATGGACATAGGATTTACCACTCGAGCTGAGGGGAAGCAGACACAAAAGAAGACACATATGAATGAAATTAAAACTAAAAACCGAAGCTGACGGGCGCAGTAAGCTGAACAAAGCCGACTGAGGTTCAGCTAGTTGAGGTTGGCCTCTTCGTTGCATTTTCTGTTCCACCTTAAATGGTGCAGCAGTTGTGTTCTGGCGCCGGACCGTAACGTTAGCATCATTTAAGGTGGAACGGAAAATTCAAACAAGAAATTAACTTAAGCCTCGTGTAGTTTGGGGACTTGCTGGTAAGGTACAGTGTCTTCAGTATGGGAACCTGACAATGTTTGAAGATCACTTGTATCTTGTTATAAACATCCTGAAATGGCTTCAGTGTGCCTCAGCAGGGCAGACACCGGCAGAGAGCTCAACACGCCCTCTGCTGGCCGAGCTCCACTCACAAGAAAGGCGGAAGCGGCCGAAGGCCTCCCCAGTTTCCAGTGCTGACTGACTGAGAGAGCTCATCGGTCGGATCACCGCAGAGAGAGCAAGGACATGGCAGCAGGGATTCGGGACTATGACTTCTGTAGCTAGCTTGTAAACCGTCCATAAGCTGTTGGCAACACTCTACCTGATCGTCGTTCTTTGTTAGATTAACGTGGGACAAACTTGTTCCTCCACACGGGATCACAATGGCTTTAATTTTGTTTTCGAGATCTCGGACTCCGTTGATGAAACCGTCTAACGTCAGATCGTTAAAGAACGAGCTCAGAAAAGGTAACGATCTCCTACGTTGTTTTATGTGATTGTGCTACTTGTACCGTGTCCATGTTATTTTTATGTGGCTGTGGTAACTGGTAACACAGTCTCATCGTGTTGCCGGTTTGGCCTTGTTATTCTCAGACAGCAAAGCGTAGCCAGTCTGTCAGTGTGTCAGATGCGGCGAGATACAACGACGCTAACGCCAGTAAACCAGCAGGATTCGGTTAGTGAATTAGAGCTTGGGGCGTTTAATAGGATCAAAACAAAACCGAAAATCCAAAATTAAAATGCTACGATGCTTCACTGCAGGCCTGTCACGTCAAGTATGCTGTTCCCTCCAGACTTATGTATAATTTAAACGTCTTGTGGATCAAATGAAGACGTCTTCTGGCCCATTAACTAACTTACACAAGAAAGTTAACAACACAACCGTTAGCTAGCTAATGTGAGTTAGGAAGCTTATAACCTAGACGACTGGTGGAAAGGGAGGTTTAGCTGACGTGGTTAGCTAGCTAACAAGCTAACTACGTTCTTTTAGCCGTTGTGAAATTCAAACGTTTCATTTGTCAGTTCAGTATAAATAATAATGTTACTGCGTTGAGTATTTGTCATTACTAAATCATGTTAGGGACAGTAAAACGTGTGTTTGGACTGTATGATAACGTTACCGGCAGTAAGTGACACTGACACGTGTGGTTGTGTTGCTGGGGCTGTGGCTTTTGTGTGGGGGTCTGATAACTGTAGATAGGTGGGTAATTTCCAGAAAGGATGGTAGTCCCTGGACTGATGGACAGTCTCTTGTGTCTACATTGTTGTTCACACACGTGTCATTTCCACATGTTTAAAGAAAAATCCACGGCACAGGCTGTCTGTCACATGTACATGTATTTTCCATTCTGTCCAATTCTTCCATTTATTTTCCTCTTTAGAGCTTTTCATGGCTCAAACACGAAGCTTGGTTTTAGAGAGCAGAGTAGTTTAAGCTTGTTTTCAGAGAAGACACATGTGCACATACGGCACACAGTTCTTTCATTTTACCCTGAGTCATGCTGGTTGCACTGTAATTTAGTGAGCTGTTTTATTATTTTAGTCATCCTGCTTCAAGACAAACGTGCTCACTGCTGCCCCATGAACACTCGAGGTTATTCGAGGACAAGCTCCTCTGCAGCTCTTGCTACACATGCAGTGGCTCTTTCCTCATTTTACAGAACCACCCCCAGGTACAAGAGATAGCGGTCAACCCAAAGGGCCTGCTTCATCCACCTGTGTACCAGCTATGTGCATTGAGGATTGTGACTTAAATGCAGAAATAAACATATGGATTTTGTCAAGTTGTCAAGGAATATGTATTTAAGCATTGTCATTGTAGCTAATGAAGCTATAACTCATACATGGTGGTAACATGTCATGATCACTGTGCCAACTACAATACCGTTTAGTTAGGAATCACTTGTCACGTTAATGATTATTGATTAATGATTAATTTTTTTTTTCAATAAGCTTAACAGTATATTGAAGTATTATGAGCTAGAACCCACAAAGTATTTTACTGTTTATTCTAAAAGTGTTTTGGGGATTATCACATAGTTATTAAATGAAAGGTTTGTAGCCATTTCCTGATTATCTGCCTTGAGATTCAATCACTTTTAAAATGCAAAGCATTCTGTATGAGTATAATGTAGTATTTTCAAGGTTATACTGCTTTCTTAATCGATATGGAGTCATCTGCAGTTCTGTTCATCATTCTGCTCACATCTAACTTTTTTTTTTTACAGCTTCCTACTAATTGGATGAAACATTATAACGTTGTGAAATAGGAGCATCATAGTACAATTAGTTTGTACATATATATCTTTCACAAATAAGTTTTATATTATTGAAGACAGTGATTCCTTTTTCTTTGTCTTTTGAATGGTACATGATTTATATCTGTCTATTTGACCAAATATATAAATGGTCAAATTCATGGATTTATCTGATTCATAATTCATTTTTTCAAGTCTGATTAGACTACTATCAGCATGATTAACAGGACCATGCAGTGCAGGTTCAATTTCAGTATTATTCATAGGTGGGGAATGTAGAAGTGGCATGAATGCTTTAAGATGCTTGAAATGGAACAGCTTGTGCAGATTGAGGCAGTTTAGCCTGTCAGTCAGTGTAGGCCTTTTGATGTATCCTTCTTGATTGATCTGGTGAAGCACCTTGTGACCTTTGCTTGTTGTCCATTCATAGATTGGGTTTGGATCCTGGTCAGATACTAAAACGCATGTAGCAAATCAGGAATATTCCTATACTGTCTGCTATGACTCCAAATCTCTCTGTTCTACATGAAGTGGATAACTGTTGTTTTCTCTAGTTCACTTTATAGAATCTAATACAGCACTTTAAGTGAAAGTGCAGGGTTGATCGTAGAGATTCTGTTTTTTTACAACATATGAGACTGTAAATTAACAGAAACACGTGTTCATAGGTTACATTCTTTCCTTATACAACATAATTTTTGGTTCAGGTTGTAACTGCTTAGTTGATGCAGCATTGATCAGCAACTTGGAATTAAGTTTGTTAGATGCTTAGAATGAGCAGCAGTTTTACAGAAAGAAAAAATGATCATGTTTCAGTCTTGCCATTTGAGAGCTGCTGGAAACAGAACATGGTGAAATATACTAAAACATCATTAACTTGATGTAACGTATGAAAAGTATGTTCCTTTTCCACTAATGGGCAATTTTCAGTGTCTGAATATCAGTGCACAAGGCAGTGTGAGTTCTTATGACTGTAATACTGGTGTTGATGTTTCGAGATGCTTTTTTTGACTGGTCATTGTCAGATGAACTCTGTGTAAGCAGTATCTGTCCGGTCAGGATTAGACTGAAGGAATTCTGAGCCTTCCTCCGAGAGAGAATTCCTCTTGCTGAGATAGAAACGTTGGGCCTCAATTCAGCAACCGTTCTTAAAAAGAAATTTCTCCTTAAAACCCACTTATGCAGTTTTTGCTAAGATTCTGACCTTCACCAATGTTTTCTTATTTGGGATTTGTTCTTAGGTGAGAAAAGAATCTACACTCACTCAAGAGCACAAAGATGTAAACCGTTCTATGGTTTAAGAACACAACATGAATCTGAAGTAAAGTTTTTCTTAGGACTTTTCTCAGGAACACATTTAAGAAAAAACTTAGGAAGATATTGGTGAATGAGGCCCACTGATACTGACAGACATGGGTTTAGTGTTCTCTCTCCCCTTCTAGCTGTCTGTTAAGTAGATATCAGTCAGGTAGTATTCTTCATGTCATTCTCCATAAAGGTGCCCAAGGGTGCTTTGGAGTGATGCCATATGGAGGAACCACTATTGGTTCACTAAAGCATTTGTCAGTGGATGATTCCTTGAAGAATCATATTCGTAAATGAGATGTTCATTGTGAAGAAAGTCCAAAGTGGCCTACTTAATGTAAAGGTTCTGTGACAAATATATGCAGGCCAAGAACCATTTAAAAACCTTGATTTTTAAGAGTGTAGTCTTATTCACTTCATCATAATATGTAAGGAATGTGTGTGTACATTAAAAATGTAGTGAAGCCATTACATTATTATTGGATGTAGGGGCTATCATGCTTCAGAACTGTTTTCAGTCTTTTATAGTTGTGCGATGTAATAGATTATTGCTTTATAAACTTGACCATTGAATCATTGAATTACGTGCCAGTGTGAGATCATACGTTGTACTTAAAAACAATTAGGAAGGATTTGTAAATAAATCTAACTAGTTTCTTCCTGCCTGTGGTAGCCACATAAACGTCCCAAGAATTCCTGAAGAAGTTTTTTGGTTGGTCATAAACATTCAGCTGCAAATTAGCCTAGTTAGTGGCTTATTGTTCTGTCTGAACACACAGACAGTAAGAGAACCATAGTGTTATTGAAAGCTTTGTTTTGTCAGGAAATGGGCTTTCTCTGCAGGGTGTTTGGCGAGCCTCTTTAAATGTCCCAGCATGGACCCTGATATTCCATCTGTGCTGAGCAGCATGGGTAGCTGACACTTGGAGAACCTAAATGAAACATGACCCCAATTCAAGTACTGGCTCAACAGCTTCACTTAAAGGGAGTCTGAAAGCAAAAATGAAAGAATTCCAAGGCTTGGATTTGGAATGTTGTCTGTTGTATATGTGCTGTTGTGTTTATATATGCCGTGTTTGCATTTGCTGAAAAATACTACTGTGCTTTTAGAATAATGTTTACTTGTCTGGGACTGGGTCTTGCAATTCAATGCTTTTACGGTACGGATGGAATTACTTCAGTACTGCTGAGTGTCGAAAGATTTCGTATCATTTAGTACAAAATTTCAATACCTAAGTTGCCAGTCTTATCAGCATCAGTAAGCCAGTAAGCATGTTTGAGCCAGTATTGCAACTGGTGATTAGCTGTCTAAATCACATTCTGCGTGTGTGTAATTAGCACTTCTTGATTAGTCACGGGTCAGAAAATATACCCAGTAAGTATTGTTTAGGGGTCATTATTAAAGGTGTGGTATCAATATTGGTATTAGTATTGAAAATGTTGAACAGTGCTGAGCCCTAGTGTTGCAGACCTCAGGTATTATGCTTTATACACCTGGTTTAAGCATGATTGTGGTCAGTAATCATATTAATACATATTAATGTGCATTATAAATATTGGTTATAACTTAAGTTCAAACCAATACTGAGTTTGTAGTTTTACTGACTAACACTTATTAGTTGCTTCTACCAATATCTGTCTGTAGCTGAGTTTGGTTTTGGAGCTAAATATCCAAGCAGAGTTAAATCTAGTCAGGGTCTGGAATTTTCCCCTTTGTTCTCTTGTCTCTATGGTAATTATCTTTGTTCTTTGCTCCTATGCTGAGCTTCACTGCGTCTACTGCAGAAACGCCAGGTACATCAGTTTGCATGGGTTTGTTTTGCAACATGTGCCTGATTTTTTCCAAACCAGGCTTGGAGGCTCTAAATGAAAGGTTTAGGAATCTTGCAGACTTTTCATCCTCTG